GAGGGGGTGGGGGCGGGGTGAGCCCGGTGTTGCGCCGCGCAAATCCCGCGCAGGGCCGCGCTCAGCGCCCGTGCTCTGCCCGGGTCCCCCCTGCAGCTGAGTCCCGGCAGGGCTTCGCCTGACAGCCCGAGCTCTGGGCACTGCCCCCGGCTCAGTCGGGGGTTAAAACCCGGAGACTGGGGAGAGCTGCTCGGCCCTGCAGCACGGCTGGTTTAACGCCCAAGGAAAATAGATCCAATGGTTGAGTCTCTCCCTGCACCACATGAAGCCTCGGTGCTGCTCCACAGACCCAGCAGCAAGGCGAAGCCTGAGGGCCAGGCTGCACCAAACGTGCTCTGCAGAGCACACAGGCTCTCTCTTGGGACCTCCGGGCCTCTTCAGCAGCTCTTCACACCCGCTCTGCCACAGAGGATCTTGGCTCCGAGGCTGAGCAGTGCACAAACCCCTCAGCTTTTCACAGAGCAGGAAGAGAGCCGGACAGCCTTTCCTCACGCATGTTCCAAGAGGTTAGAGGCCTCTGAAGATCTACAAACTCACCACCGAGGCATTTCTACCACCTTTCTTTTCCGGCCTCAGAAAGGCTCCATTTTTATATTTTATAGGGTCAACATTTCTACAGCGAGTATTGCGTTAGAAAGCCTCCACGCAAGTACATCAGTAGCAGCACAGGAGGAAGGTTCAGCACCCAGAGCAGAGCCAGTCACAACACAGCCCAGCAAGAAATGGGGGCACACAGAAGCTTTAGCTGAGACTTCAGAGCCTCTGCAGATGTTTCACCTCTCTTCTTTTGCTCCCAAGCCTGCAGCTGTCTCCAGTCCACGGCCTCTTCATTACCCAAACACTCCTGGATCCAGGGAAGTCCTGCCCTGCTAAGAGACAACCAAAGCCTGGGCTCCCCTGCATCACCTTCCTGCTGCGGGGCAGCGCTGCCAGTTTGTCCCTGCTTTGAAATTCCCATCTTCACTATCAGTCCCTGACTCACTCATCTCCCTGAAACAGAACGTGAACCTTTCTCCTGGATGCAAATGGCAGGAAAGTACATTGCTCTGAGCCATACAGTGTAAATCCTTACTTTGCTTTTGTTTAAAATGTTGGCTGAAAACCCAAAACAAAGAAGCAAACACAGAATATGGTCAGCAGTAAAGTAACGGTTAGTAGAACAGTACAACAGGACAGAACACATTCACAAATGATGGGATTCCTCCTCATCCACCCCGCTACCAGAGCGGGCTACCAGCCCCCTGCGGCAGAGAGCTGAGGGACAACTCAGAACCAGGTGCCACGGTACGTACCACACTCCTACCAGAAATGAGCCACTTCTGCTTTTACTGCACAGAACCGAGCACGTGGGAACGGCCCCGTTCTGTACACGAGGAACAAACACAACAGGGGGAGCAGATCATCTTCAGGCATTAGATGATTTGGGGAATGATTACTACACAGAGTTGATTTGCAGCCTGTGAATGCATAAAAGCCATTTCAGCTGTAGCTCCCAACAGAAAGTTCACTGCAGCCTCACAAGCCAGGCATTTGCTTCAGATATTCCAGTTCAATGGAATGGAACTGCAAATTAATCCATGCCATTTCGTTTCCCGCCTTGGGCTTCCTGTACACAGATGTCATGAAGCTCCACAGCTCAGTAGAGGGACGGTTCACTGAGCCAGGCTTCCCTTCTGACCTGTCCACAGCTCTCGGAGCTCCACTTTACAACCAAGATCCCTCAGCGCAGCTTTGGCCACATCGTCACAGTCCTTGTGTGTTGCACGAGCTTCTGTTATCAGGTTCTCAGCTCCCATCTCTAAGATGGGCTGAGAAAAGTCCCGGCTCCGGGAGACCAGGTTGCGGATCAGCATGCAAGCCTGTTTCTGATGAGAGGTAAAGGAGAAGTATCAGCATCTTTTGGAGGGAAACACCATGCGTGTAGGATGCTGGCACGCACAAAGCAGATCTGGTTTCAACTAAAATAAAAACTTTTTCTGGGCAGCCAAATGTGAGATGCTGTAGACAGCAACAAACTATCTCCTGAAAGAACAAAATCTGTGGACAAAAGTGTGGCTGGTAGTTCACACTGAAATTTGTACAACAAAACCTCCTGCTTCTGTCAGAACACCAGCAAGTTTCAACCATCAGCCCGGCAATACCAAATACTTCTTTAAACAGTGCTAAAACAGAATTCTCCAATAGCAGCAGACCCACCTTTCCACCCCCTTGTATGCTGTTCCAAGCACCTTCCCTGGCAGTTAGTTTAAACTACTCTTTGAGAAAATATTTTCTATGGTATTTTAATACTCTGGAGAGCACAAAAGTGAATCTGCTGAGACTTGCATGAGAAACCAGAGGCTAATTTCTTGCCATGCAAGAAGTCTTATTCGACTCTTGAGAATATAGGGCAATGTCTCCCATAAGATATCACTACAGCACAAGCCGGGAATGAAGGAGCCTGCTCTTTCGAGGAGAAGTAATGCCTGGAAGAGAAGCACGGCTTTCCACAGTCACTTGAACCTGAATTTGGGTGGGTTTGAAGCCCAAACTAATTTTGCTCTGATGGCATCAGGCTGACAGATGTAGGGAGTCCTACACTTAGATGCTGCGTTCCCAACACACTCAGAACCGTTCGGTATTTGTCAAGTAAAGGACAAAATCCCCACGAAGCAGTGAACAGAGCCAGCACCGATCCTGAATAAATAATCAAGTGCTTCGAGGCAAATACCTGTACAGCCACTTCTCGTGGGTGTGTTTTCATGGCCTGAAGAGCTGCCAACGCCCCTCCGCCTTCCATGATGACATTACAGTTCTCAGGTTTTCGCAAAGCCAACATGCACAGGGCTGCACAACCCTGCTCACAGATCTGCAAGACAAAGGGGAAGAGATTTCACTGCCTGAGAATGTTCCTTTAAGGAAAAAAAAGGCATTTGGAGCTCATTTCCTTGTTTGGTAATTTTTAACATTTATTTTTTTAAGTTTCTACCACTGAAACACTCTGCTCCTGTGGCATGTAAACCAAGTTTCACACCCCAAAGGCGTAAAACACTGTATTCAATAGCCATCTGATTCAGGAACAAGGAGAAACTCTACTATAGTAAAGATAAAGCAGACATACCTTTACATTTTCACAAATATTTGCCAAAGCATCACTTAACCGCTCAACAACTGGATATTAAAGGTTTAAGACACTGTTTGGCTGCAATTCTTCGACGACTGTGCTTAGGAGGCACCTGCTCCCAGCACAGGCTGTTTCACAGAATCGACTAGGTTGGAAAGGACCCTGAAGATCATCTAGTCCAACCATTAACCTAGCACTGACCGTTCCCAAATACACCATGTTCTTAAGCACTAAAGTCGACCCTAAAGAATCACAGATTGTTTTATCACAAGTCAGAGCAAGGCTGCGGGTTGTTCCTCTGCACAAGACAAGTTATGCTGCTACATGACACAGCCCAAACCTGACCTCCATTCCCAGCCCTGCGGGACTTCAGCAACCACCTCGGTGTGTACCTGAGGATTGGCGAGGTGATGGCTGATAGCGAGCACGATGAGGTCTGTTCCCCCAGCATTAACGATGGCGTCTTTCACGTCGTCATTACCCGCAACCGCTCGGATGGCGCTGAGCACCTGCTTCACCACGTCCTGCATTCATCAAGAAAAAACACCTCAGAAAGCCCCAGAGAGAGTTTTAGACTTTTGAAAGCCATCCAGAACATCCCCCAGTAACTCCATTCAAACAGCTGTCCTTCCCAGTTATGAACAGCAGCACTGTTCTCTGTCACTCATGTCTCAAGCATAGCTTACTCGCTAGACAGAGTAATAATGAACCTTGTCAGTTTGGCAGAGGTTTTCAAAGAAGTTTAAAGAATCAAACAACCACCTTTTGGGACTTGAGCATCTAAACCCTCCTGAATCTTTTCTAGTTACAATGGTGGAAAACCAGCTCAGCTTTTCTGGGAGCAAGTTCTGCTTATGGAGCGTGGAGGACCGAGGAAGTAACCATGAGCAAGGGCCTCAGAATTACTGCAGTCTTACCTGACAGAGCACCTGTAACCTAGTTCTGTATATAAGGCCATAAATAGGCATCAGTGGTTGGGTTTCAACCCTAACTGAACCTAAAATAATGCACAGTCTAAGGCCCATTCAGGGCCAGGACTTTAAAATGAAAAGTGTGCCCTGCTATGTTTATCTCCACTCCTAAGTACACTTTATATCACTCACCGGATGGTCGATGCAGTCAGCCAGAAGAGTCACCATAAAATTTAAGCCGCCAAGGTCCACAATTTCTTGACAGAATTCATTCCTGACAGAGAGGCGAGAAAGGGTGGCACAGAGTTCACTGAGGACACTGGAGTTATCTGTGAAAGCTGCAGAGGAGAGATGATGAATGGGGTAACTACAAGCAAGGAGGGGTGCTGCAGAATCAAGGTGGCTTACTTTGCTTTATTAAAAAAACCCAACAGGACACAGTGAATTTTACTTTATGTATCAAAACACAGCAGCACACAGATGACATCCTGTTCACTCTGTATCTAGACTGAGATAGAGTTTCTTTTTTGGCAAGAACACAGCACCTCAGCAAGGATAACATGCCTGTAAACGCGCAGTGGTCTGTAAAATATTTCCTAGACAGACTGGCAAATAGCTCTGATAACTGCCACCTTGGTGCTGCTGATAGCCTCTGGAGCAGTCATATTATTTTTCTCTCTCAGGGCACATCAAAAGAATTAAACATCGTTTTAGTGGCAAATTTCTGAATCATCTCTGGGGAGCTTCAAGTTAAGACAAAGCACAGTTTTGAGATAAGAAAGTACAGATGATTCAAAGTGAGGCTCAACAGTCACGGGGTTAATTTTACCTTTTGCAGCTTCAATGAGGACTCTTAACCCATCATTTTCCAACACAATCATTTTAGCATGATCGTGAGCGTGACCAAAGGGCACGCGGATGTCATCATCAAACGTCATGATCCTGAGCGCCGAGGAGGCCGTTCGGACGACGTCGGCACTGTCTCCGTGCTGGACAATAGCTCCGGTCAGAAGGGGCAGAACCCCACCTTTCACAAAGTCCTGACGATTCTGCTCGTGTTTCAGACAGGCGTGCCGAATGCACCGCATCCCAGCCAGCGTCATCTCCGCATCCTCTCTATATTCTCTCAGGGTTTGCAGCAGTAGGTCCTGGCCAGCGGCATCAAGGAGGTCTGGCTGCCCATCCAAGATGGCAGACAGAGTATAAAAGGCTTTTAGCCTTAAATTTCTGTCTCCTGAAGCCAACTGGCAGGCAGAGAATACCACAGAATAGGCACCATTCTGCCCAGCCAGGTAGCGGAAAGCCAGCTGTTCTTTGCACTGATCAGTGAAGACCACGAGCTGCTCAGCCATCTCAGCAAGATCAGCGTCAGCAACGGCTCTTCCAAGGGAATCTAAAGTCTGAAGAAGAGAACAAGCGTTAATTTTCAATCTGAACTGTGAAGGAACTAGAGCAGTTCCTCATAGTCAGTCGCATTTTTTTATTTATAGTAAGTCTTCTTTTTAATTAGTTTGACATATCTAAGAAATGGCTGTCAAAGGCCAGCTTTTTGTCTTCACGCACAGAACCTTTGGAGGAGTGAGGGCTTCTCTGCACTTCTGCCACCCCTGTACACCAGTCTGACCAGTAGCGGGTGAACTGGGTCCAACCAGCACATTTCACAGTGGTCAGCGATGTGCATCAGTATTTTTATATTCTTGGTGGTGAGGGACTGTATTCCATGTTTTCACCCACCCTCAGAAGAACTAGCTAACAGCTACCACTTAGGTTATTTGTATTTTTTTCCATTACAGTTCTTCTGTGCCTTGAGTTTACCTGACAACAGCAGAATCTGCCTCTGAGTTCTGAAAGGCAGTCTCTGCATTTCCTAGGCAGGAGATGCTGGCATTTTGCACTTACAGAAATTCTTCCACTGAAAAGTGCAAGCTAGCTCTTTGAATTTTTATATTATTCCTAATTTGCAGAATAGATGGAATTAACTGCTCGTTGAAGAGCTCACTGAGAAATGGGACAGAGGCAGAAGTAGGAGGTGTGTATCATTATTCTTAGCATATTACTTCAACTATTATATAACCATGATCCTTAGAAAACAACATAAATTTGTGCTCCTACCAGCAAAATTTCATGCTTTTGTTTTTGCCCATTTTCAGAGGCAGGCTGCCGCACAGCTTTCACAATATTGCTTAGGTCAACACCTAAAAGAAAAACATGATTAACGTTAGTTACAGGAGCTTGGGTAAAATTTGCCAAGTTAACCACAGTAAACAAAGATGAACTTGTTGTAAAGTGTGGATCAATTCACAAAGATGCTGAAATGTTGTTAAAGTTCTGTCTAACTATAATGGTCAAACACATCCTGGAACAAAGCATCATTTTTAGCTAAATGTCAACTAGAGGGAAAAAAAAAAGTTTAATTTCATCGACCAAATTGCACCCTGCAGTTTCACTCAAAGCAGTTTTTCAGTCATAATTACTCCATGAAACTGGGTTAGCATTAATAGTGTCTCTGTTCCACTACACAAAGGCTTCTTTTCAAGACTGGATGATCAATCTTTGCATGCCGATTCTCTTAAATTTTAAGATCTGTAAAACTCCAGTCTGTAATAGCCTGAACTGCAAAGGGAGGAGAATTTACAATACCTTGGGACTCAAACTGCTGCACAGCTTCTCTCACAGCCTCTTCTGGATCCATTTCAAATTCTGTAATGTTTTCTTGCACGGCATCATCAAATGTTTCCTGTGCAATCTGTTTCGATCCCATTTTACTCGAAGGAGATAAACTGCCCCCTTGTCCTGTCATTAAGATAACCCACAACTAGTTTTGGTGCAAAACCTTCTAATGTGAATCAGAAACAAAGGAACTGAATTGCTCTTCTTCAAAACAAAAGCACAGAACTCAAACAAAAATATTAGGGTCAAAGAGATGACTGTTTTTTTTTTAACATGCAGAAACATAACAATTTTAAAAAATAAGGATTTCAGAGGCCCAGGATTTGGATCGGGAAGCTGCTGCTGCTTCTACTGCAGATGGGTGTGTTGCTGTGACACGGCTCTCACCGCACTTCCCCTGCCGCAGGGGCACGGTGGGCAGCCTGCCCAGACACACACGACCCTGAGACCCCGCACGCTCGAGGGCGAACACAGCCCAAAGCCCCTCGGCCTGCCTCTGTCCCCGCTCCCACACCAGGGCCCGGCTCATCCCCGCAGCCCCCTCAGCAGGCCCAGCCGGTCAGGGAGATCCCACCCCTCAGTCTTTCGGCGAGGCCTGCCCCGGAGAGGACCCAGGAACCGGCTGCAGGTACTGGGGAAGCTCCCGAGCGCACAACGGGCCCCGGTTCTCCTCACGACCCACCTC